AAGAGTGGTACCTAGAGGAGAGTACATGGTATGGAGGGGATATGGAAGGTATAACTAATATGTGTACCTCCTCTAGTGTTTGAACTTTCCCAGAGAGAAATCTTTAGACTCTGATTTTAATCATTTAGTAAGTATCAGTTATTATATCCTATTATGTAACAATAGTATAGTGTCTTCAGGCCTATAAGGTCTATCTGCAATACTTTCTCAGGTCTTTCTTCTATCTTTGTAAAATTAAAACTGCTTTTTCTATTTGCTTTCTGTTGCTGCTCAGACCCATCATAACTACTATATTTAAAACAAATTTGCTAAAGAAGTGCCAAAAATAATAGAGATTTCCTATTAGTACTGCACATAAACGTTAACAGAGAAAGAGCCAGATCTCAGTACTTCAATTTATAATTTTGGTTTGAAAACATTAAAAGTTAGTCAAGAATAAAGAATCTGATGAAAGTAACACCTGAGCAGGTACAAAGTAACAAATATGACACGTAACAAATTTGGCTACCATATTAAAAAAACAGCATATAGTTTAAGTACCGATGAAGAAATTATACTTCAACCCACTATACACAAAATTTTCTTAGGGGAAAGAACAAAAAAAATAAAAGTTTAGTTACTGGCTAAGAAATTAAATCTTATCACTGACCTTACTCTGCTAATAGCATACAATCAGATAAGAGTCTAAAAGTAACCAAAAATAAACTCAATTGAGAATTTTTGAAGTATGCAATGTGGATGGCTTAATATTAATATCTGCATTTTATAGCACTGTGTGGGAGGGATGGTCTCCAATATCAAGATTCTGACATAAAAGTAAAATGTATAAACTCATTAAATAAGCTACAATTTACTAAGGACTTGTCCCAGTGTCACTCTCTACATAAATACTTTTTGAATGAAGTTCACTCTAAGTATTATTAACTATTATCTTTCCAAAATGTAAGTTTCATGTCATTCTCCTCTGTTTGAAATCATTCAGTGGCTCCCTTGTGCTATCAGAATGCTTTAAACACTGTAACAAAGGTCCTCTATAATATACTTCTCTTATATTACCAATTATTCATCTACTCCACAAATATTTACTGAACACTTAACTGTAACCCAGGCATGATTTTGGCCTGATGGTGGTGGCTCAGTACAAGAGTGACAGCAGTGAAGACAAGAAGAAACTGGATTCTAGAGCTATTCTGGAAGGTAAAGCCAACAGGATTTCCTGAGGGGTTGGATATAGGATATAAAGGGAAAAGCAATGGCTCCAAGGTTTTGGCCTAAGCAAGTAGGATAAAGCTGCCATTAACAGGGATTATCTTCATTAAAACTCTATGTTATACAGACAGTGAAAGGCGAGTGCTTTCAGGAATACATCTTATAGTCTCATAAAGTCACTCTTCTCTAAACTTCCATAAGACCAATTTAACATTATTACTGTATTTACAGCTTTGCATTTAATGGCCTAGGTTTTAATTCTTGTCTGCATCCTGAGGGCAAGCACTAAATTTTATCTTTAAATCCCCAGAACCAAAGCGAGCCTGGCCTGTTTCATCAGAGATGTTTACTGAATGAATAAATGCTCTTGGGAAATGGAAGTCATCTTTTAATAATAAAAAATGTCTACCTCCAAAAGCTGGTATGATACGTTGGGGGAAGAAGGGAGGAGGGGGGAATCCTATGTCTCCTAGGCCTGCCTCATTTTTTTCTTTGAACAAACTAGAAACCAGATGCTATGTTTCATGCTATAAGGTCACTCCTCTCAGAGTTCTAAGAGAACATGCTACAACGAGAACATAAAGATACTTACTCATGCCTGTCTGAAAGGAGCTGAGAAAGTTTCATATAGGAATCTTTGCGTTTGACCATGAAAGCAAAGTAGGATTTTTCTCATTCTCTCTCTCCTTTTTCTCTAGAGATTTAGGTTATAGAGGGATCATTCAGAAAATGAGAGGGAAGAGAGTAGGTTGGGTAAAATCAAGATGGCTGAGGAAGCAAATGGATGATGTCTTCATCAAATAGATAATCAGGCGTCAAGGTTTCTGGCTTCCAGTAATGGTGATGTCATTCCCCAAACAAAGAATATTAAAAGAATCAGCTGTCAATGGGAAAATTAATTACCATATGTGATTTCTAACACTTGAAGCAAATAAATAGTAGGCTTTTATATTCTACACTTTGGTTGCTAAGTGATAGCAAGAACAATTGCTAGAATGTTGATCAATTATGCACTGACTTGACATTGTTATCTCATAGTGATATGTTAGTCCATCTTATCTCTTTTCCTAGACTTTAAGCCCCTTAAGGGCAAGGGACATATATTCTTACTTTATTTCTCTTTTTAGCACTTCACATAATGCTGCTCACAGAATGGATCGTATACTTTGTAATTGAATTCTGTGAAGTTAAAAGAATCTATGAAGTTAAGAGAATATTCTAATCACCATCGTTCTCAACTTTCTCTGCAACTAAAATTTAAAATTTCAAGTGTTTTGTTAAACAGTTTATTAAATCTAATAAAAAAAAATTTTAATTTAAATGATATGCTAACCTGGAGAGCATGTCTCATTTTGTGATATAACTTCAGGCTCATCTTTTTCACCTGAAATATCCTCTTCATCAGAGAGAACCAAAAAGGCTTCCTTTGGCAAACTCTCACTACTTTCTTGTTTAGATGGTGAACCAAAAGAACCTTCCATCTTCTCTTCCATATCTGGATTTGTTTCGTCAATTGGAAGGAGACAAGTTTTAGAGAAGCAACTAAGTTCATCTTCAGCAGGTGCAAGCTTTTCCAAAATAGGAATAATTTCATCTGTCTCCATAGAATCTGTATTTTCTAAGATATTCTCATTTTTGTCATCTTTTAAAACATTTTCACTAATGGTTTCTGCAAGGTCTGTAGAATTTTCATCTTCATTCTTTTTACTTTGGTCAATTTCCATACTGCTAGATATAGCCTCCTCTCCAAGAGTAGGTTCTGTGATAGCATCTTCTTCTACCTTCTTTTCATTTTTGGGAGGTAGATCTGAACAAATAATTCTATCATCTGTTTCTAGAGTTTCTTTATCAGCATCAATATTACTATCAGCTTTATTCTGCTCATCAAATGAGAAAATGTGGTCTAACTTTTCATCATCTCCATTTTTCTCAAGAAAATCATCACCTTTATTGCTAGTAGGTTCTGTAATGTCAGTTTCAGGAACTGGTTCACAAAGTAGTAGAGAAGTTGGTTCAAACATAGGATCAAAGGCTGATTCAGAAGTTGGTTTATCAGAAGTTGGTTTATCAGAAGTTGTTTCATCAGCAACTGGATCACCAGAGGCCAAATCACCAGAGGTCAGCTCACCAGAAGCCAGCTCACCAGAGGCTGGATCATCAGAGGCCACTATTCCAGAGGCTAAGTCGTCAGAGGCCAGATCACTAGAGATTGTTTCACTGGAGACTGGTTCACCATCAACTGGTTCACTAGAGACCAGTTCATCAGAGACTGGTTCACCAGACATCGGTTCACTGGAGACTGGATCACCAGAGGCTGGATCACCAGAGGCTGACTCACCAGAGACTGGTTCACCAGAGATCGACTCACCAGAGACAGGATCACCAGAGACTGGATTATCAGAGGTGGGATCACCAAAGGTGGAATCACAAGAGGTGGGATCAGCAGAGGCAGGCTCAGGAGAGGTGGGATCACCAGAGGTGGGATCACAAGCGGTGGAATCACTAGAGGTTAATATTTCAGAAGCCAGATCTCCAGAGGTCAAATCTCCAGAGGCTGTATCTCCAGTTGCCAGATCACCAGAGGCTGGATCACCAGAAGTTGGTGCAGCAGTCAGTTTAGAGACTAGTTCAGAAGTTATATTATTAGGAGACAAAGGTGCACATGTTAAATCATCATCTGGTTTGTTTTTTACATTAACATTTAAGGTACAAGGTGTTTCCTTCCATTCTGATTTTTTTTCAGGGTCAAAACAAAGTTCTTCAATGCCATTCACCTCATCCTTGTCATTAATATAATCCATATTTTCCAAAGGTGAGGTTGGGTCCAAATCCCCATTTTCATGGTTGCCATTTAACAGCTTGACATCAGTTTTCAACAGTTCTTCTTTGACCTTGTACACTGCTTCAAGTTGTTGACGATCGCTCACCCTCATTGTTTTTCGAGCCTTAAAGACTTTTTTCTGAGGTTCTTCTATACTATCCATTTTGAATCTTTAAAGAGAGAGAGAAAAAGAATTTAATCACTGAAACAGAAGACATCTAATTATAGACTTACTGTAAATTGATCTTATAAGCAAGTAGCACTTCATGTAATTTTGAAACAATGACATACGGAAAGCATAATAATCCTTCCTATATGTTAATTTTCATATTTATTGGATTTATGTAATATGAAATTGATAACACAGGTACAGTCCATAAAAGATCAATTACTGGAAGTATTAGAAAAAAGTAACTAGTTTGTAGTTTGCATTCTCAATAATCTACCAGATTCAAAGTCTGATGGTGATATATAGGCATAAGTAAGTAGGTGGAAGTAAAAAAGTAGATGGAGAAAGAAAAATAAAAGTATAAGAGAATAAAAACAGTAGGGGAATGGGAAAGAGGCATAAAGATAAGGAAAAAAGGAGGGAAAATTAAGGAACACATATGAAAGATATTTATAATAAGGCACATCTAGATAACAGAACTGTAAATATATTAGTAAGAGATTGTCATCAAGAAAGTGAAAATGCAAACTCACATGAAAGAGGGAAATATCTGCAAATTATATATTTGCAAATAACATACATGAGAACTTGCATCTAAAAAATATAAAATACCCCTAAAACTGAATAACAAAAACAAAAGTTTTATATGGGCAAAAAACCTGAATGGACATTTCTCTAAAAGATATACAAATAGTCAATAAACCAATAGTCAATAAGCAATAAACATGAAAAGATGCTCAACATCATTAGTCATCAGAGAAATGCAATGAAAACCACAATGATATAACATTTCACACACAGCAGATGGCTATAATCAAAGAGAAAAACATACTGGCAAGGACACGGACAAATTGGAACTCTCACACAATGGTGATGGGACTGTAAAATGGTACAGCTGCTCTGGAAAAGAGTTGGCAGTTCCTCAAGACGTTAAACAATAATCATTACTTTTCTATCTTTCCCTTTTTGTAAGGTATGTATGTAAAGCTATAAATTTCCTTTAGCACTACTTTAGCTGCATCTCACGTTTTAATGTGTCATATTTTCATTGTTCTGTTAAAACATTTTCTAGTTTCTGTTGTAATTTCTTTCACCAATGAGATATTTAGAAGGAAGTTTCTTAAAAACAAGTAATACATTATGGCCATTTGAAACTTATTAAAAATATACATGGTTTCATATTCAAAATGCAAGCAATGTAAATTGTGAGTCGTGAAGCATTATGGTTTTATTTCAGGCCACTGGTGTCCACTTGATAAAATATATTAGAGCTCTAAGTCCCAATACCTCAGAATGTGACCTTATTTGGATAGGGTCTTTGCAGAGATAATCAAGTTAAAAGTCCTTAGAATGAGCCCCAATTCAATATTATTGGTGTCCTTCTGAAAAGGGGAAAATTTGTACAGAGTTGCACACATGGGAAGAACACCGTGTGAAGACTGGAGTTAGGCTGCACAAGCTGCAACTAGGAAAAAGGTCTGGAACAGATCCTTCCTTAGCTCCTTCAGGAGGAGGAGTATGGCCCTTCTAATACTTTGATTTCAAACTTCTAGCCTCCAGAACTGTGAGATATGAAACTTCTGCTATTTTTTGAAGAAAAGCAATGTAATTCACCATATAAACAGGATAGAGGGTGAAAATAAAAGACCACCTGAACAGATACAGAATATTCATTCATTGGACAAAATTCAACACTGACTCATAATAAAACTCTCAGAAAACTTAACAATAAAGGAAACAACTCAAATCTCATAAAAGTTATCTACCAATAAAAGTATAGACATCATACTTAATGGTGAAATAAGATCAGAACCAAGACAAGGATGTTCTCTATCACCATTTCCATGTTAATATCCGGCCAGTGCAGTAAAGCAAGCAAAAGAGGGCAAGGATTTGGTCCTGGAGAAAGAGGCCACCAGTCTATAGTAGAATAAAACAAAGTCCTTTAAGGACTAAGATGTACAGGGAGCTAGAATAATATTTTTACATTGAATGTTCATTTACCATCACTATTACCAGTAGGAATGACGGTAGAATATACTTGCTTTGGCTAGAGAAGGGAAAAAAGCAGACTCTGAGGTCTCAGAACTTATCTGAGGCTCACAGGTAGGCCTTAATGTTATTATACACTAACTTAATGCTTATAGCTAATCCATGTTGTTCTCCTGTTGAACATAAAACCATCTCAACATTCAAATTAAATAAGGTCACTGTGTAACCCATAAAAAAAAAAACAATTATCTCTCTCTCTCTGACTAAATGAGTGATGGCTACTTCTTTATCAATTGCAGCTTTATCCTCACTATAGTCTGTCCTCACTATAGATAAGGTTTATATTGAGATACCCAAGCAGAGAATTGCCCCAAATTTCTGACAGCACCCAACCACAAGTGAGGTTCTTCCTCCTCCAATCCTCCACAAAATAACCCAACCTGTACAATACAATGACCAAATTCTATACTAGGTTTTCTTCTAACATTCTCTTGCCAATGTGCCCCAGTTTCCCCATAGTGAGCATTCTTCCTCACTGCAACAAATAATACAAATAATAAACCCAACTTATTCAATTACAGGTGTTCCTGGTGTTCCATTCCTTCAGTTGCAAGGCATAAAACAATAGCATAACCTGTATGCTGTAGGCCAATACGGCTTGAGAACCTACTACTTTGTCACAGTACTACTAAACTGTGATAAATTCTTCATTCATTCTCTCACACTAAGAAAATTACTTATATTTCTTAGTCTTCCTAGCCTTTTAATTTAAATTATAGAACTGAGTAAAACTATTTAGAAAAATTATCTTGCAATTGAATAGAAACTTCAATGCAAAATTATCACAGGCACTATTTTAAGGATTATATATGGTAGTCTAAAACTTAAACTTCAATTTTTTCCCACCCACTATCCATTCCAAACTCCTGCTAACTGAAATGAAAAATTTTCTGCAAAGATACAATGCACATTTTGTAGTCACTTTTCCCTGCTGATCCAAACACACAAAATAATTAAATTTATCAAGTATGGTTATCCTTTAAATATTTTCAAACACTGATTGCAATTCTTTTTTTACTTTGACCTCATAATATCCACATTTCTCAGCTGTTGTATGAATAGCTGGCAGTTCTTACTGGTGGCAATAAAAGCTAACATTATTCTAAAAGAAAGTATATTTTCATATTTTTTAGTAACTCCATTACAAATATGAATTCTGCAGACAGAGACATGGATTTGAACTTCAACTTGCCCATGTACTTTTGTGACACTGGGCAAGTTACCTAACGTTGCATTTTTTAGTTTCAGCTACCTTATAAAAGGAATATTAATAATACCTACCACAAAAGTTGTAGTGAAGATTAAACGAGATTCTATACATTAAGCCCTTAGAATATAGGAAGCACTCAATAAATGTTATCATAACTGTCTAGGTATATTCAGGGTATTTTTAGGCATAAACTAGATAATCTAAGACAAATATCTCTTAAATACTTTTGTATATGAATTAGAAAATCTAACATGTAAATATCACCACCAAATAACATTTAATAAACTGCCGCCACCAAATAACACGATAAAAATAAATAGAATCCAAGTAAGCTGATTTTATCAACAAAATTGCCATTCAATTCAGAAACAATAAAATACTGTACAAAGAATTACAAAATAACTACCATCTATACCCACAAGGGAGCACACTACAGCCACTTACCAGATCTTTTGTGGGTTCTAAGTATAATGAAAAACAGACAAAGCAATAAGGAAGTAGCATGAATAACCAGTTCAAACTAGTTCAGCCATATCTGTGCAAACCAATCAGCAGTAGGTTTTTAAAAATCTATTTTGCATAAGCAAAGTATATTTAAGAAAGACACACATTAGAGAAGGGTGTGTTACCTGCAAACAAGTCTCCATGGCTGTATTACCGGAACAAAACATTTCTAAGGATCATTTTAAATATCATCATCTGTAACTGAGATGCTATTCATGAAACTGTTCCACAAAAGAAATACTACTTTTTTAGGTGGCAACATTAGAATCATGAAGCTCTCACATGACTGTAATTCATTTTTCCAAGAAAAAGCATCATATCTTACAGTAGAAAATGTCTGCCATGTCTAGAAGTAAATATGTAAAACGTGAACTACTTTCTCCTGAAAATATTTTTTCATGAGGAAGACAGTCAAAAAAAAAAAGAAGTCCTTATATTTAGATTCAAGAAATCTGGAGGAAATATCACTAATAAAATCCTTCTCTACAGCATTAACAAGGGTTTTTCACCTTTACCAAAGGAATTTATATTTAAATAACCAAGGAGGATGAGTTCTGCAAGTTAAGTTTCTATGGCTTGGAATTTTTTTTCAAATTTTGGGTAAGTTATTTTTAGGGAAAGTCCAATGAGCCTCCTCTTTACATGAAAACATTTTCTTCTCTACTTCATCCCCTTCCACCCAATCCTTTCACTCTTCTTTCTAGCTAAGAGCCCATAGCTATGAAACAACAAAGGGGAAGTATTACCAAAAGCTGTAATGTCTTAGCCTACAATCTGCCTGCTTAAAAAGCTCAAGAATTTGAGTGTTTGTTCAAGAGCTGCTCAGAAACTCAGCCAATCAGTAGCCAGCATTCTGATTCCTGCCCAGCAACAGGAGACAGACAATAAGGTCAGAGAAACATAGTTAAAACCTGGATTTGCAATACTTCAGTGAGGTTCTTTTTCTTGTCTGATATAAGTAACCTAGAACATAACTGCATAAAATCCTAAATCCATAGACATGCATTAAATATACCACATAAATAAGATTTACACCTTTTATGCTATTTTAATTATCTTCCTTTAAATGTCCGTGAATGTTTCCAGAAAGATAAATCAATTCCCTACCTGGGAAATGAGTGAAACATGGACAATGCCTAACAAGAACATACTTTTCTACACAATAGGTTAGAATCTACAAATGTAAATTTCTTTTTAAAAATCTATAGTCATTAACATTTATAAAACATTTATAA